ATTGAGAAATGAAAGGGCTCAAATATTAAATTTATATAAGAATGAATGTTTGTATGTTCACATAAAATAGATTTTTGTTGACAATATGGTACTTGTAGATTTACTGCTTCAAATTCTATTTTGTTGGCATATTTATTTTCCACTTTTTTTCATTTTCCTAGTACTTAAAACATCATTTACAGGTAGAATATGTAATAAAAGTAAGTATATTTGAATTTGTATATTTCTATATAAGAGAGATAGAGTTCGTTCGTCTATTCAAATCTGTCCACTTAACATCAAATACAGTCATATTTATAACTAGAATAACGAATGTATAGGTTATATACACTGAGAGAAATAAGTTTCCAACTAAAGTTCCAAAAAAGATTTAAAAGAGATAAAGACATAAAAAAGTAGGGACTATAGAAGAATCCACGGTAGGGACTTTAAATGAGGTTGTACACGGGACTATGAAAAGGTTCATAGTAGGGACTATTGATGATTCTATAGTCGGGATTATAGAAGAGTCGGGACTATAGAAGAATCTATAGTTGTGACTATAGAAAAGTCTATAGTCGGGACTATAGAAGAGTCTATAGTCGTGACTATAGGAGAGTCTGTAGATGCGACTATAAGTAGAAGAGTTTATTATGGGGACTATAAAAGAATCTATAGTCGGAACTATAAAATAATCTTTAGTCAGCAATAAAGAAGAGTCTATAGTCAGGACTATAAAGAGTGTATAGTCGAAACTATAGAAGAGTCGGACTATAGAAGAGTCCATAGTAGGTACTATCGAAAAGTCTATTGCCCGGACTGTCGGTCGACACTAGTCTCTAGTCGGAACTATAGAAGAATATATAGTCGGCACTTAAGAAGACTCTATGTTCGGCACTTGAAAAGAATCTATAGTAGGGTCTATAGAAGAATCTATAGAATATTTTATAGTCGGGAATATAGAAGAGCGTATAGTCGGTACTATAGAAGAGTCTATAGTCGGAACTATATACTCTTCTATAGTCGGAACTATTGAACAGTCTATAGTTAGAACTATACAGGAGTATATAGTTAGGGCTAACGAATAGTCTATAATCAGGACTATAGAAGAATCTATAATCGAGTCCACACAAGAGTCTATAGTCGGGACTATAAAAGAGTTTATAGTCGAACTATAAAACAATCTATAGTCAGGAATAAATAAGAGTCTATAGTAGGAATTATAGAAGTATTTATAGTGGAGACTATAGATGAGCGTATAGTCAAGACTAGAGAGGAGTCTACAGGCAAAACTATAGAAGATTTTATAGCCGGTACTAATGAAGAGTTTATTGTCGGGTCTATATAAGAGTTTATAGTCGGAAAAATAGAAGAGTCTATATTAGGGATTTTAGAAGAGTGAATAGTCGGTACTATAGAAAAGTCTTGAGTCGGTATTATAGAATAGCCTGTAGTTGGGACAATTGAAAACCTATAGTAGGGACTATAGAGAGTTTATGGTCGGACTTATAGAGTGTCTATAGTTGAGACTATGGAGAGTCAATGGTTGGGACTATAGACTATATACTATAGAAAGGGACTATAGTCCAGACTATAAAAGAGTCCAAGTCATGACTATATAATACTCTATTTGTAGTAAAATGTCCTGACTGAAATTCAGAAATAAAATTTTTAACTTTTAGTTTATTTCTTAATGGTTAAAATATTGTTTATATTAACAATAACGTAAAAACTTTAACATGTTTCATTTTAAATTTGGAATATATTTTTTTTAATACCATTTTAATCTGTATATTTTTTCGAGTGTATTTCCTTTTTCACAATTTCAATAGGTACAAAAGCCATTGAAAACCAGCAGTAAAGTATTTGGAAAAAAAAACATGGCTTAAGTTGATAACAACAAGGTTAACATATATAACAAGGTTTATAGATATATACAGAGAACTACCAATGGAAGTACTTGTGAATATGAAATTTGCATCCCAACAGTGCCTATGACAGTCAGCGAATTCATTTGAAACTTCTTCTACAATACAAGAGAGTAGATGTGATGCATTTTTTAAAGTATTATAACATCATTACATCAATAACTATTTAATTACTTTTTGAGCCATTTAACTATTATATTTAAATGTTCTCCTTAAGATACAATAGAACTCCATAAAGTGCAAATATTAATGTGAATGTGAATAATTGTCATACTTTGAAGATGCAGGGTACGTCAACCAATTTTACTTATAACATACATTTGAATATAGAATAGTATACTGGTAAATAGTTGTATGATGGATATTCTCGTGTAAATATGTATACATACATATGATGTTTGTCTGATTAAAAAAATATGCACATACATTGAAAATAATTCAATCCTAGAATAAACGAAAAATGTGGTATATTGTACGAATGTTTCGTTGTCTTATGTGATTCTAATGTAATTAATATTATTATGTTAAATTTCTCTAAAATTTCAAACAAAAATACGGGTTTCTTACTTAGAAAAGGGTTTGACTAAGTAATATTTCGTCTTATACACGTAAATTTCGTTAGTATTACGAAAAAGTAGTTAGAACAAGTCTTTCCTAAAGTTAAGCATGGATTATTTCCAGTGTATGAAAATATTACATTAACACAGCACTTACTGAAGTAAAAGGATGTTGTTGTTGTTGTTGTTAATGTGATGACAGCGTATATATTTCATTTCAATGGAGGTGAAATATTAATGTAATTAATTAAAAAGAAAAATGCAAAATCAGGTCAACTTATACAGATTATATTCGATATTAGGTCGAGCCTTTACAAAAGAGAACAAATTTAAATTAGAACAATTTACATGAAAAACGAGTTGTTTACACCATGATTATAACGGATTTAGCGATTAGGCTTAGAAATAGATCGTCCAGACTGAATTCTGTACTAACTAACTAACTAACTAACTAACTAACTAACTAACTAACTAACTAACTAACTAACTAACTAACTAACTAACTAACTAACTACTAACTAACTAACTAACTAACTAACTAACTAACTAACTAACTAACTAACTACTAACTAACTAACTAACTAACTAACTCTAACTAACTAACTAACTAACCTAACTAACTAACTAACTAACTAACTAACTAACTAACTAACTACTAACTAACTAACTAACTAACTAACTACTAACTACTAACTAACTAACTAACTAACTAACTAACTAACTAACTAACTAACTAACTAACTAACTACAACTAACTAACTAACTAACTAACTAACTAACTAACACTAACTAACTAACTAACTACTAACTAACTAACTAACTAACTAACTAACTAACTAACTACTAACTAACTAACTACTAACTAACTAACTAACTAACTAACTAACTAACTAACTAACACTACACTAACTAACTAACTAACTAACTAACTAACTAACTAACTAACTAACTAACTAACTAACTAACTAACTAACTAACTAACTACTAACTAACTAACTAACTAACTAACTAACTAACTAACGAACTAACTAACTAACTAACTAACTAACTAACTAACTAACTAACTAACTACTACTAACTAACTAACTAACTAACTAACTAACTAACTAACTAACTAACTAACTAACTAACTAACTAACTAACTAACTAACTAACTAACTAACTAACTACTAACTAACTAACTAACTAACTAACTAACTAACTAACTAACTAACTAACTAACTAACTAACTAACTAACTAACTAACTAACTAACTAACTACTAACTAACTAACTAACTAACTAACTAACTAACTACTACTAAACTAACTAACTAACTAACTAACTAACTAACTAACTACTAACTAACTAACTAACTAACTAACTAACTAACTAACTACTAACTAACTAACTAACTAACTAACTAACTAACTAACTAACTAACTAACTAACTAACTAACTAACTAACTACTAACTAACTAACTAACTAACTAACTAACTAAACTAACTAACTACTAACTAACTAACTAACTAACTACTAACTAACTAACTAACTACTAACTAACTAACTAACTAACTACTAACTAACTAACTAACTAACTACTAAATAACTAACTAACTAACTAACTACTAACTAACTAACTAACTAACTAACTAACTACTACTAACTAACTAACTAACTACTAACTAACACTAACTAACTAACTAACTAACTAACTAACTAACTAACTAACGAACTAACTAACTAACTAACTAACTAACTACTACACTAACTAACTAACTAACTAACTAACTAACTAACTACTAACTAACTAACTAACTAACTACTAACTAACTAACTAACTAACTAACTAACTAACTAACTAACTAACTAACTAACTAACTAACTAACTAACTAACTAACTAACTAACTACTAACTAACTAACTACTAACTACTAACTAACTAACTAACTAACTAACTAACTAACTAACTAACCAACTCTTCAAGATCAAAATTGTAAAAATTGAAAAAAAAAAAACGATTTTAACGTGTTGAAAACAGATATCAAAAGCTTCCGTTAATTAGGCGTATACTTAATATTTGTGATATCAACGAATCATTAATACGTATACGTACTGGTGTCGTTATTAAAAACAGTGAAATTTCCCAATGTAAAGCCTTCCACTTGAAATAACAAAATTATAAAGGAGTTTTTTGACTTCGTATGTTCACAATTTTTATTCTTTATGACATGCGCTACAACTTTGCTTTTGAGAGTAAATCCATATGTTTTGCAAGATATGAGCCTGATAAAATAATCACAAAATGAAGAATGAGAAATCTTTGGGACAGTATATGGTGATATTTCCGTGACTTCAAAAATACGCATAGTATTATTAGTGTTTTGCGATAAACTGAAGAAATCTGCTCTCTATTTGTGATCGGTTCAACTCCACTTCTCAAACTTTGTATATTCAGCATAATGGTTTAAAGATAATTTATTTCCCTTTACGAACTGTTTTGTATTGAAAATATCCTGTTGAAGTTTTGATTTTCAATAACTTAGAAACTTTGTTTTTATTCATTCTATAACAAAGAATGAAAAACATGATTTACATTAAAACTACTATTTTAAACAAACTAACATTTTCACAACAAGTCCCATTTTTTGATATTGGGGACGAACAAAACATCTGTTTTAATAAAATTTCCTCCATTTTTTTCCAATATCCTGTATAACTGGTAACCAGTTATGTTTTTAAATCACCGTTAGCCAAAGTAACAAATTTTTATCCAGTCTTTAACGACTTTTTACATTTTTTTGCAAAAGGCAGAATTTCTTTGTTGTGAACGGTGTGATAGGTTAGAGTACATAAAAAGTTGATAGAGGTGGGGCAGCGGAAAAAAGAACAAGAAATCACTATATGAAATTCATAAACCCATTTGCATTTTTTGTGTTTTTTGAAACTGGTGTTGTTGTTGTTGCTGTTGTAGGAAAACATTGAAATAAGTTTATGCCACAAGTTTGGCTAGAAATTGTGGCAAACAAATATTGCATGCAGGAAAACGTCGAAAGAGACGATGGAGAAAAAAACGTAAATGTAAATTTACAACGTCAGTGTTACCATCCACCACCTCCTTCCTCACTATCACTGGCAAACAACGACCATATCTTTCATGCCACGACTGGCATGTTGCCGGATTTAAAAAAAATCTTAAACAAAAAAATGTTTGGAAAACTGAAAACAGCGAATTTTCATTCTAACCTCTATATACATATATTTTCTATCCAAAAGGTGTTAGCAGAGCATAAATGTAAAATTAAAAGGAATTTTTCGTTTTTCTGAACAATTGGTCATTTCAGAGGAAGTGATAAAAAAAGCTTTTTGTTTTTTTGCCATTTCTGTGAAATGGTTTTTATTTCGTTTCACATATTGCTGATTGAGTGCAATGACTGGAAAAGCCATGAAACTAATAGGAAGTGAAAACAACATTGTTTGAAAGCACTTAAAATTCAATATTATATTAATTATGCTCGCTTGAAAAAGCGTTTGTTTTCTTAAAGTGCAGTTTTTAAAGGTTTGTGATTATAATATTTTTCAACTCACCTGTACAGTCTTTTTTCTACCCTTTATAACATCGGGATCATTGGCAATATGTTCCTCTATAAGATTTCGTAATTTATCGAAAACTTTGTTCTTAAATTTACTCAAATACGTTTCGTGTTGCTCATCATCGGGATCTATGCCGCTGTCACAACAATTACCCGGCACACTGAAATAAAGGTAAATAAGAAAATAATTAAAAAACAATTGTTGAGGTAAATTTGTCCAGTCCTTAGCCTAAATAATTTTGTCTAGTCTATAGTCTAGTCTATGGTCTAGTCTATAGTCTAGTCTATAGTCTAGTCTATAGTCTAGTCTATAGTCTAGTCTATAGTCTAGTCTATAGTCTAGTCTATAGTCTAGTCTATAGTCTAGTCTATAGTCTAGTCTATAGTCTAGGTCTATAGTCTGTCTATAGTCTAGTCTATAGTCTAGTCTAGTCTAGTCTATAGTCTATAGTCTAGTCTATAGTCTAGTCTATAGTCTAGTCTATAGTCTAGTCTATAGGTCTAGTCTATAGTCTAGTCTATAGTCTAGTCTATAGTCTAGTCTATAGTCTAGTCTATAGTCTAGTCTATAGCTAGTCTATAGTCTAGTCTATAGTCTAGTCTATAGTCTAGTCTATAGTCTAGTCATAGTCTAGTCTATAGTCTAGTCTATAGTCTAGTCTATAGTCTAGTCTATAGTCTAGTCTATAGTCTAGTCTATAGTCTAGTCTATAGTCTAGTCTATAGTCTAGTCTATAGTCTAGTCTATAGTCTAGTCTATAGTCTAGTCTATAGTCTAGTCTATAGTCTAGTCTATAGTCTAGTCTATAGTCTAGTCTATAGTCTAGTCTATAGTCTAGTCTATAGTCTAGTCTATAGTCTAGTCTATAGTCTAGTCTATAGACTAGTCTATAGTCTAGTCTATAGTCTAGTCTATAGTCTAGTTTATAGTCTAGTCTATAGTCTAGTCTATAGTCTAGTATATAGTCTAGTCTATAGTCTAGTCTATAGTCTAGTCTATAGTCTAGTCTATAGTCTAGTCTATAGTCTAGTCTATAGTCTAGTCTATAGTCTAGTCTATAGTCTAGTCTATAGTCTAGTCTATAGTCTAGTCTATAGTCTAGTCTATAGTCTAGTCTATAGTCTAGTCTATAGTCTAGTCTATAGTCTAGTCTATAGTCTAGTCTATAGTCTAGTCTATAGTCTAGTCTATAGTCTAGTCTATAGTCTAGTCTATAGTCTAGTCTATAGTCTAGTCTATAGTCTAGTCTATAGTCTAGTCTATAGTCTAGTCTATAGTCTAGTCTATAGTCTAGTCTATAGTCTAGTCTATAGTCTATCTATAGTCTAGTCTATAGTCTAGTCTATAGTCTAGTCTATAGTCTAGTCTATAGTCTAGTCTATAGTCTAGTCTATAGTCTAGTCTATAGTCTAGTCTATAGTCTAGTCTATAGTCTAGTCTATAGTCTAGTCTATAGTCTAGTCTATAGTCTAGTCTATAGTCTAGTCTATAGTCTAGTCTATAGTCTAGTCTATAGTCTAGTCTATAGTCTAGTCTATAGTCTAGTCTATAGTCTAGTCTATAGTCTAGTCTATAGTCTAGTCTATAGTCTAGTCTATAGTCTAGTCTATAGTCTAGTCTATAGTCTAGTCTATAGTCTAGTCTATAGTCTAGTCTATAGTCTAGTCTATGGTCTAGTCTATAGTCTAGTCTAGTCTATGGTCTAGTCTATAGTCTAGTCTATAGTCTAGTCTATAGTCTAGTCTATAGTCTAGTCTATAGTCTAGTCTATAGTCTAGTCTTAGTCTAGTCTATAGTCTAGTCTATAGTCTAGTCTATAGTCTAGTCTATAGTCTAGTCTATAGTCTAGTCTATAGTCTAGTCTATAGTCTAGTCTATAGTCTAGTCTATAGTCTAGTCTATAGTCTAGTCTATAGTCTAGTCTATAGTCTAGTCTATAGTCTAGTCTATAGTCTAGTCTATAGTCTAGTCTATAGTCTAGTCTATAGTCTAGTCTATAGTCTAGTCTATAGTCTAGTCTATAGTCTAGTCTATAGTCTAGTCTATAGTCTAGTTATAGTCTAGTCTATAGTCTAGTATATAGTCTAGTCTATAGTCTAGTCTCTAGTCTAGTCTATAGTCTAGTCTATAGTCTAGTCTATAGTCTAGTCTATAGTCTAGTCTATAGTCTAGTCTATAGTCTAGTCTATAGTCTAGTCTATAGTCTAGTCTATAGTCTAGTCTAGTCTAGTCTAGTCTAGTCTAGTCTAGTCTATATCTAGTCTATAGTCTAGTCTATAGTCTAGTCTATAGTCTAGTCTATAGTCTAGTCTATAGTCTAGTATATAGTCTAGTCTATAGTTCTATCCTAGTCTAATCTATAGTCCAAGTCTATAGTCTAGTCTATAGTCAAGTCTATAGTCTAGTCTATAGTCTAGTCTATAGTCTAGTCTATAGTCTAGTCTATAGTCTAGTCTATAGTCTAGTCTATAGTCTAGTCTATAGTCTAGTCTATAGTCTAGTCTATAGTCTAGTCTATAGTCTAGTCTATAGTCTAGTCTATAGTCTAGTCTATAGTCTAGTCTATAGCTATAGTCTATAGTCTAGTCTATATGAGTCTAGTCTATAGTCTAGTCCTATAGTCGAGGTCTATAGTCTAGTCTATAGTCTAGTCTATAGTCTAGGTTCTATAGTCTAGGCTATAGTCTAGTCTATAGTCCCTAGTCTATAGTTAAATAGTCTATAGTCTAGGTCTATAGTCCTAGTCTATAAGTCTAGTATATAGTGCTAGTCTATAGTCTATCTATAGTCTAAGTCTATAGTCTAATTCTATAGTCTAGTCTATAGTCTAAGTCTATAAGTCTAGTCTATAGTGCTAGTCTATAGTTCTAGTCTATAGTCTAGTCTATAGTCTAGTCTATAGTCTATCTATAGTCTAGTCTATAGTCTAGTCTATAGTCTAGTCTATAGTCTAGTCTATAGTCTAGTCTATAGTCTAGTCTATAGTCTAGTCTATAGTCTAGTCTATAGTCTAGTCTATAGTCTAGTCTATAGTCTAGTCTATAGTCTAGTCTATAGTCTAGTCTATAGTCTAGTTATAGTCTAGTCTATAGTCTAGTCTATAGTCTAGTCTATAGTCTAGTCTATAGTCTAGTCTATAGTCTAGTCTATAGTTTAGTCTATAGTCTAGTCTATAGTCTAGTCTATAGTCTAGTATATAGTCTAGTCTATAGTCTAGTCTATAGTCTAATCTATAGTCAAGTCTAGTCTAGTCTATAGTCAAGTCTATAATCTAGTCTATAGTCTAGTCTATAGTCTAGTCTATAGTCTAGTCTATAGTCTAGTCTATAGTCTAGTCTATAGTCTAGTCTATAGTCTAGTCTATAGTCTAGTATATAGTCTAGTCTATAGTCTAGTCTATAGTCTAATCTATAGTCAAGTCTATAGTCTAGTCTATAGTCGAGTCTATAGTCTAGTCTATAGTCTAGTCTATAGTCTAGTCTATAGTCTAGTCTATAGTCTAGTCTATAGTCTAGTCTATAGTCTAGTCTATAGTCTAGTCTATAGTCTAGTCTATAGTCTAGTCTATAGTCTAGTCTATAGTCTAGTCTATAGTCTAGTCTATAGTCTAGTCTATAGTCTAGTCTATAGTCTAGTCTATAGTCTGGTCTATAGTCTAGTCTATAGTCTAGTCTATAGTCTAGTCTATAGTCTAGTCTATAGTCTAGTCTATAGTCTAGTCTATAGTCTAGTCTATAGTCTAGTCTATAGTCTAGTCTATAGTCTAGTCTATAGTCTAGTCTATAGTCTAGTCTATAGTCTAGTCTATAGTCTAGTCTATAGTCTAGTCTATAGTCTAGTCTATAGTCTAGTCTATAGTCTAGTCTATAGTCTAGTCTATAGTCTAGTCTATAGTCTAGTCTATAGTCTAGTCTATAGTCTAGTCTATAGTCTAGTCTATAGTCTAGTCTATAGTCTAGTCTATAGTCTAGTCTATAGTCTAGTCTATAGTCTAGTCTATAGTCTAGTCTATAGTCTAGTCTATGGTCTAGTCTATAGTCTAGTCTAGTCTATACTAGTCTATAGTCTAGTCTATAGTCTAGTCTAGTCTATAGTCTAGTCTATAGTCTAGTCTATAGTCTAGTCTATAGTCTAGTCTATAGTCTAGTCTATAGTCTAGTCTATAGTCTAGTCTATAGTCTAGTCTATAGTCTAGTCTATAGTCTAGTCTATAGTCTAGTCTATAGTCTAGTCTATAGTCTAGTCTATAGTCTAGTCTATAGTCTAGTCTATAGTCTAGTCTATAGTCTAGTTTATAGTCTAGTCTATAGTCTAGTCTATAGTCTAGTCTATAGTCTAGTCTATAGTCTAGTATATAGTCTAGTCTATAGTCTAGTATATAGTCTAGTCTATAGTCTAGTCTATAGTCTAATCTATAGTCAAGTCTATAGTCTAGTCTATAGTCAAGTCTATAGTCTAGTCTATAGTCTAGTCTATAGTCTAGTCTATAGTCTAGTCTATAGTCTAGTCTATAGTCTAGTCTATAGTCTAGTCTATAGTCTAGTCTATAGTCTAGTCTATAGTCTAGTCTATAGTCTAGTCTATAGTCTAGTCTATAGTCTAGTCTATAGTCTAGTATATAGTCTAGTCTATAGTCTAATCTATAGTCAAGTCTATAGTCTAGTCTATAGTCAAGTCTATAGTCTAGTCTATAGTCTAGTCTATAGTCTAGTCTATAGTCTAGTCTATAGTCTAGTCTATAGTCTAGTCTATAGTCTAGTCTATAGTCTAGTCTATAGTCTAGTCTATAGTCTAGTCTATAGTCTAGTCTATAGTCTAGTCTATAGTCTAGTCTATAGTCTAGTCTATAGTCTAGTCTATAGTCTAGTCTATAGTCTAGTCTATAGTCTAGTCTATAGTCTAGTCTATAGTCTAGTCTATAGTCTAGTCTATAGTCTAGTCTATAGTCTAGTCTATAGTCTAGTCTATAGTCTAGTCTTTAGTCTAGTCTATAGTCTAGTCTATAGTCTAGTCTATAGTCTAGTCTATAGTCTAGTCTATTAGTCTATAGTCTAGTCTATAGTCTAGTCTATAGTCTAGTCTATAGTCTAGTCTATAGTCTAGTATATAGTCTAGTCTATAGTCTAGTCTATAGTCTAGTCTATAGTCTAGTCTATAGTCTAGTCTATAGTCTAGTCTATAGTCTAGTCTATAGTCTAGTCTATAGTCTAGTCTATAGTCTAGTCTATAGTCTAGTCTATAGTCTAGTCTATAGTCTAGTCTATAGTCTAGTCTATAGTCTAGTCTATAGTCTAGTCTATAGTCTAGTCTATAGTCTAGTCTATAGTCTAGTCTGTAGTCTAGTCTATAGTCTAGTATATAGTCTAGTCTATAGTCTAGTCTATAGTCTAGTATATAGTCTAGTCTATAGTCTAGTCTATAGTCAAGTCTATAGTCAAGTCTATAGTCTAGTCTATAGTCTAGTCTATAGTCTAGTCTATAGTCTAGTCTATAGTCTAGTCTATAGTCTAGTCTATAGTCTAGTCTATAGTCTAGTCTATAGTCTAGTCTATAGTCTAGTCTATAGTCTAGTCTATAGTCTAGTCTATAGTCTAGTCTATAGTCTAGTCTATAGTCTAGTCTATAGTCTAGTCTATAGTCTAGTCTATAGTCTAGTCTATAGTCTAGTCTATAGTCTAGTCTATAGTCTAGTCTATAGTCTAGTCTATAGTCTAGTCTATAGTCTAGTCTATAGTCTAGTCTATAGTCTAGTCTATAGTCTAGTCTATATCTAGTCTATAGTCTAGTCTATAGTCTAGTCTATAGTCTAGTCTATTCTAGTCTATAGTCTAGTCTATAGTCTAGTCTATAGTCTAGTCTATAGTCTAGTCTATAGTCTAGTCTATAGTCTAGTCTATAGTCTAGTCTATAGTCTAGTCTATAGTCTAGTCTATAGTCTAGTCTATAGTCTAGTCTATAGTCTAGTCTATAGTCTAGTCTATAGTCTAGTCTATAGTCTAGTCTATAGTCTAGTCTATAGTCTAGTCTATAGTCTAGTCTATAGTCTAGTCTATAGTCTAGTCTATAGTCTAGTCTATAGTCTAGTCTATAGTCTAGTCTATAGTCTAGTCTATAGTCTAGTCTATATCTAGTCTATAGTCTAGTCTATAGTCTAGTCTATAGTCTAGTCTATAGTCTAGTCTATAGTCTAGTCTATAGTCTAGTCTATAGTCTAGTCTATAGTCTATCTATAGTCTAGTCTATAGTCTAGTCTATAGTCTAGTCTATAGTCTAGTCTATAGTCTAGTCTATAGTCTAGTCTATAGTCTAGTCTATAGTCTAGTCTATAGTCTAGTCTATAGTCTAGTCTATAGTCTAGTCTATAGTCTAGTCTATAGTCTAGTCTATAGTCTAGTCTATAGTCTAGTCTATAGTCTAGTCTATAGTCTAGTCTATAGTCTAGTCTATAGTCTAGTCTATAGTCTAGTCTAGTCTAGTCTATAGTCCAGTCTATAGTCTAGTCTGTAGTCTAGTCTATAGTCTAGTCTATAGTCCTAGTCTGTAGTCTAGTCTATAGTCTAGTCTATAGTCTAGTCTATAGTCTAGTCTATAGTCTAGTCTATAGTCTAGTCTATAGTCTAGTGTATAGTCTAGTCTATAGTCTAGTCTAGTCTGTAGTTTAGTCTATAGTCATACATATATTTTTCATTTTCATTTATGTAATCGGTTTATTAAAATAACAAATTTAAATAAATATTTAAACAATACTCACACTAATGTTGTATAATTGTCTGTTGATAAATTCATTGTCAATTGATCCTTTAACGTACGCAAACGTTCCGAACTCTCAGCACCTTTCACGCTTAATTGTGTTGATGACCATTCGCGGTAAACGGCCAGAATTTTTTCATTCGAAAGTTCTGTGTGGTGGATTTAAATAATTAAATTGGAAAAAACAAAAAAACAAAAAACAAATTATTCAATTATTTAGCAATGCGTAATACAAATTAACAAAAATTGTTAATGGGTCTCTTTAGTTGATTTCACATTTAATGGATTGAATTAATGGGATATTTCAGGTGTTGGTGAAGGAAAACATAAACATATAGTGAAAAATAATTATACAAATATACATAGTAAGTTATTATTTATTTTGGCAATTCTTAACCCATAAAAGCCTATGGGGTAATTAAATGCTTGTTTACCAATAAAGTAAAGATATTCATTAATTAAGGTAAACAAGTTAGAAGATCTAGATTTTACTTTTATACCTTCAAATGATGATAATTCTATGTAGATTTTAATTTCTTTATAACTAAATAAGAAAATGTTTTTCGAACATAAAACTAATTTCCCGCTTTAGGGGATTTGCAAACTTTAAAGCCGATTAATATACGATACCCATTCATACCCATATGCTTACTTTATGTATGTATGTATGTGCTTTAAGTACATGTACAATATGTATGTATGTGTATCATGTATTTACTTACCCAATGCCTTCAGTACTTCTTGTTCCATTTGTGTCTGTCGCAACTTTTGCAAATGTTGTTGCATATCAGGCGTTAATGTTTTTGTTGTTGCCAGTATAGTGTCTCCGCGCAAAATACGTTGCAGGCATTTATCAATAATGTCACGCAATTCAACATATTCTTCGTGCCATTTCTCAAGCACCATATTGCTGTAAGTAAAATAAACCAAAAAAAAAGGGGCGGGTGTTAAATAAGTGTAAAATACTATAGTAAGAACAAGTAAGTGAGTGATTTTGGGTTATAACGAATATTAAATATACTACAACTACTCTTTGTATTAGATTTAGAATCGAGAATATAGACTGTCCTGGAAGTCAATACCTTTCTGTTGTATAGTACACTTATCTGAGTTGAAATCTATGCTAAAAATGCTCAATCTGGCCATACAACCATATTCAATAGTGTGGGAGAACTATGCGACATTATTGACTACTGCAACCCCAAACAAATTTTTTTATATAGACTGATCCCTATCGAGCTGGTATGATACGATATAGAATAATTCTCCATAATTGATCTACAACATTTACTCTGATGTCAGTAAAACAAAGTCTTGATTGGGTGGTGGCTTATATGTTGCGTACTCAGGAACCAAAAATGCTTTTTAAACTTCTGGAGTGTAACATTCAGATGGCTCAATTCTCAGTCATAAAACGGGCTACCATTGGCTTAGTAGGATCATCTTGGATTTCATATCAGCAACAGATACCTGGTAATACAATTGCGAATTATCGTGCAAAAACTGGGACTTCACAATTAAGAGAGAACAAACTGCAAAATGTTGATTCGGGACAGACTTCTCAAGCATGTACAATTCTGGTAGTCCATCGATGTTAGCTAGAGAATGACGAAGATCAAGTGGTCAGTATATGTATAGCCCACTACAAGCCATTTCCATTTCCAAGAAGCGATATCTTGAAAAGCTATATAGAAGAAGAGGAAGGAGAGGATGTTTCCGCTAAGACCGGGAAGTAACATGCTAGGCACACATTTTCTGCTCGATGTAAGGGCTTTATGAGAAGTAAGCATCCGATAGTTATTCGTTCGGCAAACTAGTTTGGATAGAAACCTGAGTAATTACATCGAAGTTATGACCCTTTTTATTTACAGGTATCACAAATTGTGTGTGTTCATAGAGATGTAAGTACATGGTCAATCCGATTATCTAACCCAACCTGAGTTTTATATAACTCTAAACGATACTGTCGTTAGGAAAATCGTCATGATCGGGACTGATTTCAGCTTAGCTTGAACTTATAAAAATTCCTCTTCAGAAAATTTACCTTCATAACTCATTTGTTCAAGAAGTTGTCATGGGAGCCTTTTTATACATAGAATGTGCCATCAATAACGTAACTACTTCTGCAATTCCACAAGCTCTTACTATCCTGGTTGTCGATGAAGGTATCGGCAATAGGTTAGTAACAATATTGGAATCTAGAATGGTTAAGAGAAGTCTTGATAACAACGTTAAGTACATAAGTAAGTTTAACGAGTCACACTACGTAGAGACATAATATCTCGATTCTTACTCAACTGGATAATAAAGGGATAAAAGTTGTATAATGCTCTGCTGATTCTGAATAACTGGACCACAGATTATGTCCTTGGAGTTAAGACTAAAATTCCACGATTAAAGAACTGTAAAATTCCCTTATCAAACAATTCTAGATATTTAGGAATTATCCAGAACTCTAAATTGGTCATGAAAACTGAACATCTAACTCAGAGATAAGAAAGCAACAGTCGCGTACTACACCTATCGTAAGATGTTCAGTATAAAATGAGAACTTTGTTCCAACATAGTCAAATGGATTCTGGACTTCAACTAGAATAAAATTTATTGTTGACCAACACAACACAAAGTTCAGAGTTCAGCATGCATTGATATAATAGTTGTTCTAAGAACTTGTCTCTCAGGAGAGACAAGTCCCCGCACGCGGACTTTGAAAGAGTTCAAAGTCAGAGTTCCTACCAAGAATGAGTGGTATATGTGCATCCAACCGAAAGAATACACCGTTAACATTTATACAGTTGGTTCTAAAATTAACTGCTGTGTTGGTTCTAATGTCTTCTGCGAAGAAGCTGTTATAAGTTTCTCTCACCGTCTTCTCCAGAGCTGTAGTGTTTTTAGGTTTAAATATTTGCGATAATGTCAGTCTGTAGATCATTATATGATCTCAATACTCGTGGGAATATAGGAATTTTTGTCTATAGCTAGGCGGCACTTCTTTCGTTAAACTCGTATACCATGACATTACTCTATTATGGGTTCCTGCTTATAGGGACAACTGTTGTAATGAGCCGGCTAGAACGCTCTAGATCTCGACACGCAAATTGAAGGATATGGAAAAGAAAGGGATTACTATTTCAATGAGCCAGCGGATGAGCTACATAGGACGGGATATTCTCTAGATCTAGACACGCAAATCGAAAGACAGGGAAAGGAAAAAAAGAATCTTATATGTTCTCTTCGAATGTCTTGCTTTACACGCCAGTAGAAACAAATTACGAGGCAATTACAATTCATCCAACTTTGGTGAGTTATCCATGTCTAAACTTAATGACCTTTTGAAATTTCTCACGGCTAAAAGCTGGATCTAATAATAAATAATACATCATCTGTGAAGTGGTCCTAGCATAAAAATGAATTTGTGTTTATTTGTTTGTTTATGAGGGTGTTTAATGTATATAGACGCCTAAACGGTAAGACCGATTTTATAGCAAGTTTAACAGAATCTTCCTGTACTACTATTTATTTCGAAATTTCTAGTAGGCCAGATGCCCACAAAGAAAATAAATATTAATGTTAGCATCTCAGAAACTGCAAAAGGAGAAAATTTACGAACTAGTGGTTAGAATCGTAACGCAGCCACTTTAGTATTATTAGGAATATTTAAGGACGAACTAAGAATAGGGGTGTGCCACCTCCCTCATGAATTAAATACAAAAAGTAGAATATCTAGGAAACTATTACAGCTTTGAAATTTGACACGGTGAACTTTAAAATCTATATAAACAATTTGTGGGAAAATGGTCGGACTAACAATAGGGGCGTGGCATCTCCCATTTGAATTAAAGACACAATTTCATATGTCTGGAAAACTATTTAAGCTAGAATACTCAAATTTTGCACGAACAACATTGACATCCATGTAAACATTTGGCTTATAAATTGGCGTTTTAGAAATAGGGGGCGTGTCATCTCAAATATGAATTAAATACAAAAATCTTTGTATCTGGGAAACCGTTTGAGCTAGAATAACGAAACTTTGCACGAGAAACTTTAAAATACATATGAACATTTGGGGATGAAATGAGCGGACAGACTATAGCGGGCGGGCAATGAGGAAATACCATATTTATGATACAAACGTAGGGGGAGTGGCATACACATATGAATTAAATACAAAATGTATATATATATCTGGGAAACTATTACATCAAGTAACCTCAAAATTTACATTTACAACTTTGACATTAATGGGAACTTTGGGAAGGCCTATGGGTTTCGACTTTATTAAAATTGTGTTGGTCTAAATTATTTTGAAGTGTTACAAAACATTTGTTTACAATTGTATATATAAATGTAGGGTGTAAATGTATAACTAAAGAGAAAAAGAGTAAGTGGATGCTTTTCTTTAACTATGTATGTCATAGTATAAAAAAGATTATTTCATTAATCATTTTAAGTGCTTTGAGAACGAGGACAAGTTCCTTGTCTGATAATAGTGTGGGTGATGTGAAAATTATTAAAAAAAAAAAAAATACTTTTTTTATCAGAAATTTATTTGCATTTATGTATTTTTCCACTTTTTATAAATTAAAAAAAACTGTTGTTGAAATTAATTTTTAAGTTTGTGGAATATTTTATATGGCAAATAGAAAAAAACAAATCATTTTTTTTAATGTAATACGTGATATATGAGTAATTTGAGTTTATTAAATGAAATGTATAAATTAAAAAATTAATTAAATAAAAATTGTGGTTTAAGTATTTATTCCATACTTACTACTTATTGCACAATGGGTTGGCAGAAATTGAAGCTGCCAGTTAAAATATAATAAGTTGTACAGGAGCTACTGATATTTCGATTCTTGGAAACTATACGTTAATGAATTATTATAACTCGTATATGATTAAAAACTCCAACAATTACTTTCTTTGTTATGATCAATTAAATGTTTCTATTCATTAAATAAAATACTTTATTGAAATTTAATATTTTGTCGACGTATTTTTTTTTTTAAATAAAATTTAAAAAAAAAAAATCAATAATAAACGTTTATTATTTACAATTCTGGGTAATTGTTTTAAGAGGCGTAAATTGGTAATTGATAATAATTTGATTTTGTTTCTGTATATCAATTGTCAAATCATCAATGATTGTTGTTTAAACTTTTTTTTTATATATATTTCAACAATATAAGTTTTGTATCAGTCAAACTATAATATAAATTTTTAGAAAACTGACTAAAAGTATTGATTGCTTTTTGTTTTTATAAAAATATTTATACAATTTTATAGATACTAAGTAAACAAATACAACTACAATTTAATAGAATTTAGAATTTTCCACGAATTTAAACGAACTTGTATATATACACATGTGTATAGTTTACATATGTATGTGTATAGTTTACAGAAACCAATTATTCTGGGTAACCGTACCGTATCTTTCCAACATTTGGGATCCTGGGACATATAAGGGTTAACTGACCCTATGCTAGATTACCTGTGATATGTTAAGTAAACAATGTCATATTTTTGCAAAAATTACATAAATTTGTGATCAGTTAAGAAATTAGACTTTAGTCCAAAAAAAGAAAATGCAATGGTAAAATTATAAGAACATTTTAAGTATTTTTTTGTCATTTATTTATATAGTACACTTTTAGACCCTTACTGTTGTTGTTATGGTTGTTGGTGGCTGCTCAACAATATCTCACTTAAAACTGAGGCGTTTTTCTTCCATTTTATTTAAGTGGCATCTTGAATATGCTTCTGTGGTTTAGTTTTTATGGCAAACATGTTTTTTTTTTATGTTTTTTATATAAACTTAATCAAAATTATATATTGAATTTGTCACACCGTTTGTAACACTCGAAATATTAGTCGTAGAACAGAAAAATGTATGAATATTCATAA